GAGAATTTTATTAAAGGACTTAATTTAAAACGAGTTCTTGCTAATTGACCCGTTTTACCTATTCGGCATATATATATATATATATTTATATATATATATATATATATATTATATATATATATATATATATTTTATATATATATATATATTATATATATTATATTTTATATTTTATATATATTTTATTATATATATTTTATATATATTATATATTATATATATATATATAATATATATATATATATATTTATAATATTATATATATAATATATTTATATTATATATATATATATTACAATTTTTTTTTCCAACAAGTCGGCCGTCTCCCACCGAGGCAGGGTGACCCAAACAAGAAAGAAAATCCCCAAAAAGAAAATACTTCACTTTCATCATCATTCAACACTTTCACCTCACTCACACAATCACTGTTTTTGCAGAGGTGCTCAGAACACAACAGTTTAGAAGCATATACGTATAAAGATACACAACATATCCCTCCAAACTGCCAATATCCCAAACCCCTCCTTTAGAGTGCAGGCATTGTACTTCCCATTTCCAGGACTTAAGTCCGTCTATATAAAAATAACCGGTTTCCCTGAATCCTTTCACTAAATATTACCCTGCTCACACTCCAACAGATCATCAGGTCCCAAATACCATTCGTCTCCAGTCACTCCTATCTAACACGCTCATGCACGCCTGCTGGAAGTCCAAGCCCCTCGCCCACAAAACTTCCTTTACCCCTTCCTTCCAACCTTTTCGAGGACGACCCCTACTCCGCCTTGCTTCTCGTACAGATTTAAATGCTCTCCATGTCATTCTACTTTGATCCATTCTCTCTAAATGACCAAACCACCTCAACAACCCCTCTTCAGCCTTCTGACTAATACTTTTAACTCCACACCTTCTCCTAATTTCCACACTCCGAATTTTCTGCATAATATTTACACCACACATTGCCCTTAGACAGGACATCTCCACTGCCTCCAACCGTCTCCTCGCTGCTGCATTTACTACCCAAGCTTCACACCCATATAAGAGTGTTCGTACTACTATACTTTCATACATTCCCTTCTTTGCCTCCATAGATAACGTTTTTTGACTCCACATATACCTCAACGCACCACTCGCCTTTTTTCCTTCATCAATTCTATGATTAACCTCATCCTTCATAAATCCATCCGCCGACACGTCAACTCCCAAATATCTGAAAACATTCACTTCTTTCATACTCCTCCCCAATTTGATTTCCAATTTTTCTTTATCTAAATCATTTGATACCCTCATCACCTTACTCTTTTCCATATTCACTTTTAACTTTCTACCTTTACACACACTCCCAAACTCATCCACTAACCTTTGCAATTTTTCTTTAGAATCTCCCATAAGCACAGTATCATCAGCAAAAGTAACTGTCAATTCCCATTTTGTATTTGATTCCCCATAATTTAATCCCACCTCTCTCCCGAACATCCTAGCATTTACTTCTTTTACTACCCATCTATAAATATATTAAACAACCATGGTGACATTACACATCCCTAAGACCTACTTTTACTGGGAAGTAGTCTCCCTCTCTTCTGCACACCCTAACCCGAGCCTCACTATCCTCATAAGAACTCTTTACAGCATTTAGTAACTTACCACCTATTCCATATACTTACAACATCTGCCACATTGCTTCCCTATCCACTGTATCATGCGCCTTTTCTAAATTCATAAATGCAATAAAAACTTCCCTACCTTTATCTAAATACTGTTCACATATATGCTTCAATGTAAACACTTGATCTACACATCCCCTACCCACTCTGAAACCTCCTTGCTCATCCGCAATCCTACATTCTGTCTTACCTCTAATTCTTTCAATAATAACCCTACCGTACACTTTTCCTGGTATACTCAATAAACTTATTCCTCTATAATTTTTACAATCTCTTTTGTCCCCCTTCCCTTTATATATTATTATTATAATCATTCCCTTTATAAAAAGGGACTATACATGCTCTCCGCCAATCCCTAGGTACCTTCCCCTCTTTCATACATTTATTAAACAAAAGTACCAACTACTCCAACACTATATCCCTCCTCCCTGCTTTTAACATTTGTCATGATCCCATCAGTTCCAGCTGCTTTACCCCCTTTTCATTCTACGTAATGCCTCCCGTACCTCCCCCACACTTACATTCTGCTCTTCTTCACTCCTAAAAGATGGTATACCTCCCTGGCCAGTGCATGAAATTACCGCCTCCCTTTCTTTCTCAACATTTAAAAGTTCCTCAAAATATTCTCGCCATCTACCTAATACCTCCCTCCCCCCATCTACTAACTCCCCTACTCTGTTTTTAACTGACAAATCCATACGTTCCCTAGGCTTTCTTAACTTGTTTATATATATATATATATATATATATATATATATATATATATATATGGATTTAGAAAAGGCATATGATAGAGTGCATAGAGGAGCAATGTGGCAGATGTTGCAAGTATATGGAATAGGTGGTAAGTTACTAAATGCTGTAAAGAGCTTTTATGAGGATAGTGAGGCTCAGGTTAGGGTGTGTAGAAGAGAGGGAGAATACTTCCCGGTAAAAAGTAGGTCTTAGACAGGGATGTGTAATGTCACCATGGTTGTTTAATATATTTATAGATGGAGTTGTAAAAGAAGTAAATGCTAGGGTGTTCGGGAGAGGGGTGGGATTAAATTATGGGGAATCAAATTCAAAATGGGAATTGACACAGTTACTTTTTGCTGATGATACTGTGCTTATGGGAGATTCTAAAGAAAAATTGCAAAGGTTATTGGATAAGTTTGAGAATGTGTGTAAAGGTAGAAAGTTGAAAGTGAACATAGAAAAGAGTAAGGTGATGAGAGTATCAAATGATTTAGATAAAGAAAAATTGGATATCAAATTGGGGAGGAGGAGTATGGAAGAAGTGAATGTTTTCAGATACTTGGGAGTTGACGTGTCGGCGGATGGATTTATGAAGGATGAGGTTAATCATAGAATTGATGAGGGAAAAAAGGTGAGTGGTGCGTTGAGGTATATGTGGAGTCAAAAAAACGTTATCTAAGGAGGCAAAGAAGGGAATGTATGAAAGTATAGTAGTATCAACACTCTTATATGGATGTGAAGCTTGGGTGGTAAATGCAGCAGCGAGGAGACGGTTGGAGGCAGTGGAGATGTCCTGTCTAAGGGCAATGTGTGGTGTAAATATTATGCAGAAAATTCGGAGTGTGGAAATTAGGAGAAGGTGTGGAGTTAATAAAAGCATTAGTCAGAGGGCAGAAGAGGGGTTGTTGAGGTGGTTTGGTCATTTAGAGAGAATGGATCAAAGTAGAATGACATGGAAAGCATATAAATTATAGGGGAAGGAAGGAGGGGTAGGGGTCGTCCTCGAAAGGGTTGGAAAGAGGGGGTAAAGGAGGTTTTGTGGGCGAGGGGCTTGGACTTCCAGCAAGCGTGCATGAGCGTGTTAGATAGGAGTGAATGGAGACGAATGATACTTGGGACCCGACGATCTGTTGGAGTGTGAGCAGGGTAATATTTAGTGAAGGGATTCAGGGAAACCGGTTATTTTCATATAGTCGGACTTGAGTCCTGGAAATGGGAAGTACAATGCCTGCACTTTAAAGGAGGGTTTGGGATATTGGCAGTTTGGAGGGATATGTTGTGTATCTTTATACGTATATGCTTCTAAACTGTTGTATTCTGAGCACCTTGCAAAAGCAGTGATAATGTGTGAGTGTGGTGAAAGTGTTGAATGATGATAAGTATTTTCTTTTTGGGGATTTTCTTTCTTGTTTGGGTCACCCTGCCTCGGTGGGAGACGGCCGACTTGTTGAAAAAAAAAAAAAAAAAAAAAATTATATATATATATATATATATATATATATATATATATATATATTCATTGGAGCGGAGGAGAGATACATGATAATATATACCTGGAAGATACTCCAGGGCCTGGTCCCCAATCTGCAATAACATACTGGAGTGACAGATATTGGAGGAAGTGTAAAATAAACCAGTGAGGACAATAAGGGAACAATGCATCAACATCCGGGGTCCCAGACTATTCAACATCTTACCAGAATATATCAGAAACACGGCTGGAACAAGTATAGAAGCCTTCAAGAACAACTGGACAAGTATCTTCACCAGGTGCCAGATCAACCAGGCTGTGGTGGATATGTGGGGCAGAGGGCCTGGAGCAGCAACAGCCTGGTTGACCAGGCTGTATATCAGGATTCGAACCTGCATCAAAGTACGCAGTACTTTATTCACAAAAAAAATATTTTTGTTTCTCTCTCATATTATATCGCACGGAACAGGTTTCTTACATCAAGTGATTCAACAAGAGGCTACACGAATAGGAAGACTGCATAGGTTTCCTATGGTAAAAGTAACATATGTTTTACTGTAACGCCTGTACTGCACTGTACACCCCACGATGATAGACGCGTGCCTGCACTCTATCTACATCTGAGCTTTGTACATCATTTCTAACCTTCTAAAATAAAGTTTACCATCAGCTGAATTTTTCGCCTTATATTTAATTCCTTAGCGCAAAGTAAGTTTCCTAGTACTTGCTAGGTATGATTGGTGCTAGCTAGGATATGTTGTCGCTAGCTTGAATGTTGGCGTTTGCTAGATTTTGTTGACGTTAGTTTTTTTTTTTTTTTTTTTTTGGCACTACTATGTTTGGTGAGCACTACAGGTTTGGTTGAATTCTGGCAGATATCCTGGAAACTAAGTGAGGCGGGTACTCACCAAGGTGACTGATGGAAAGAGAAGAGGAAACGAAGTTGGGTACTTCCTGAGGAGTACATCCAATTTCTTGAATCAAGAGCCACTCCCTGGTATGAAGGAACCTCTCTAAAGAAGAGCGAGAAGAGGAACAAGACTGGGTACTCACCGAAGGTCGCGTACAGAAGGTGGGTAGGTCCTCATAGAGGTCGTGGAACGAGATGAAGTATGTTAGGTACTCACCGAGGTCGTGGAGCGAGAAGAGGATGTTGGGGTCGTTAGCGTGGACGGTGCGCACGCTGGTGAAGTTTCCCTTCATGTAGTAGACTCGGTAGCCCCGGATCTCGCCATTAGGCTCGGTGGGCTGGCTCCACTGCAGGTCCACCGAGCGGTCGTGCACCCGCAGGAGCGTCAGGTTCTCAGGTGGACCCGGCACTGACACACACAACAACGTTAGTATATTAATAGAAAAAAAATTAGTTTGCATGTTTCACAACAAACCCATTATTATTATAATAAAAAAGAAGCACTAAACCTGTCATCAGAGCTGCACAACAAACCCATAAAGTGAAAATGTTAACTAAAAGACGCTTTGGTCAATCCCTGACCATTTTTAAATTAGGAACGAACCGAAATTCATTCTAGTTTTCATTCCAATTTGCGGGTTTGTTGTGAACTGTTCCAGTCATGGTACTCGTGTGCATAATAATTTAAGAGTGTATAATGCCAACTACTAAAGTGACGAAATTTTTGCTTACAAATTATATTGATACAGCGCTGACACGGTCTTCAAAACAATGTAATATCAACGCAAATTTCCCTATCAAATCTAAACAAATCCTATATTCTGAAGTTTCTATATAAACGTTTTGACAATTAAGGCTGTACTGAAAAATAACACAACCCTAAGGTAAAAAAAAAAATGCAGAGCTGGAATTCTAGGTCATCAGCTTACAACATGACGCTTATTCCTGGGAAAGTAGTCTAGGCGATTACACTGAATGAATTGTATCGACTAAACAAGTTAGGTTAAAGATCCCTACCTCCGTATTTGGCTTTCTGCTCTAAAGTTTTCCACAGCCTTGCCATAAAATTTAATATAAAAGATGAAGACAAAAAACAAGCACAGAAGGTGAAATAACAATAATATACCGTACATTCCTGTGGGTCAGAGGACAAGGAAAAGACGGCAGTGATCAATCAATAAACACTGTCTGGCAGTATTAGAAACTTAACAACACTTACACATTTACTTTTATTTATCAACCATGTTTACAACAACTATTTACAACATACAGAAATTAAGCTACATAATGACCCTCCTTTTACACATATTACATAGAAAAGCATGTCAATTATTCGCTATTATGCTATTATACCTTAGTAACCAATTTCGCTATAAATTGCTCAAATAAAGTAAGTTTCTATACATTTTCCATAGATAATCAGCTTCTATGATTATTACAGATCTAACAAGAACATGAAAATCCCATTTTTTAAAGGTTGCTGATTACCAATAAAAGGAAAAAAAAATTATTACATCTTGAAAATTTTAAGTGGGAGAGGAAATCCGAAAACAGTTTTGCAATCAAAGTCAAAAAAAAATATATTAGCACACCAACACTTTCTGATAGCTCTTTGATGTAGAATCAAGGGTCGAGGTTTAAACTATTCACTTTCACAGAGTTATGGATACATACCACTTAGACGTGAATAATTAAGCAACTCAAGCGCTGCATGAATGTCGACTCCGCTCTGAGCTGCAGTACTTTACATTTTAATCAGGAAGATGATGTTTTGCTGACATGTATAAATTTTTATGAATGGTCGTGTTTGTGTGCCCCTTCACCCTTCCCTGAGGCTATGATTTTATGAACGGTGAGGTATGCATCCCCCACACCCCAACCTGTGGCTAACTATGGATAGTCATGTACGCTAGCCCCCCGCCCACCATCCCTCTCTGATGCTCTGACTTTATGAATGGAAATCCTCTCCGAACACGGGTGTATCTGTAGAAGTGCATTGGCAGACTGATACGAGTAGACTAGAGGAAAAGTTCACAACGTATGAAGAGGTTAATATCAAAAGAAGCTTTGAGACAGCCAATGTCCAGCAATAAGAGAACCGTCTCAACTATGCAGATCCGATGACAGTTTGATCAAAGAAATAACTTGCTTAATTTAGTTCTAGCAAACAACGAAAACCTCGTTAATAATTTGGAGATTACAGTAGAACCTGGCATGAGTAACCACATATCAAATACATTTAATACTGAATGGAAGAATGTAAATGAAGATACTTCAGTAAGGATCCCAGACTTTCGTTTAATTGATAGGCTTAGCGAACACTTATCATGTGTAGACTTAGGAAATAAAGATAATTATCATTATGGCAGTTTTCTAGACACTATACACGTTGTCCAAAAACTTGTATTCCCTACCAAGGAATAAAATCGAACAGAAATGATCCGAAATTAATAAAAAGGAGGCTCAAATGCCCTTTAGTAAATAAAGGAATTTATAGGAGTATCCAAAGAGACGAGGGTCATCTCATTGAATCAAAATATTCACATTAAAAGGGAGGTTAAAAAAAATATAAAGGCTTAAAGAGACAAATTAAACTTGCCAAGGATTCGAAAACTAATCCGAAAGTCCCAAATCCGCACACTGCCATAACATACTGGAGTGAGAGATATGGGAGGAAGTGTAAAATAAACCCAGTGAGGGGCAGGGGTGCGGTGGGGACAATAAGGGAACACTGTATCAACATCCGGGGTCCCAGACTATTCAACATCTTACCAGAAGATATCAGAAACACGGCTGGAACCAGTGTAGAAGCCTTCAAGAGGAAACTGGTTAAGTATCTTCACCAGGTGCCAGATCAACCAGGCTGTGATGGATATGTGGGGCAGCGGGCCTCCAGCAGCAACAGCCTGGTTGACCAGGCAAGCACCAGACGAGCCTGGCCCATGGTCGGGCTCAGAGAGTAAACTCTTGAAACTCTTCAAAGATTCAAAGGCATAAAGTTTATAGAACTAAGGTTAGTAAAACGTTGGATGCACTTAAAGCTAACTCAAGACATCTTACTCACAACGAAAAAGAAATGTGCTCAGTTTTTAACAACTATTTCTTATCGATCTTCACCCAAGACGACACAAATGATATCCCAGTAACTAATTATCCTGGGTCTGAAGAAAATAAATTATGTAATATCACAGTCACTAGAGATATGGTAATCAGACTGACCGATTGAAGCAAAGTCCCTGTGCCCCGATGAACTTTTTTTTTCAGAGTTCTTAAAGAGTGCAAAATGGAACTTAGTGAACCATTAATTAACTAATCTTTTAAAAAAATCTCTTCAGAGAGGTGTAGTACATGAGATGTGGGAGATGAATTAATTCTTATTTTTAAAGCAAAGGATAAGTCACTACCGTCAAATTACCGCCCAATATGCCTGACTTCAATTGCAGGCAAATTATTAGTCAATTAATTATAGTTGATATTATAAGCCACCACCTGGGAAAACAAGTATGATTCATGACACACATAGGTAGGTAGGTAGGTAGGTAGGTAGGTAGGTAGGTAGGTAGGTAGGTAGTAAAGCATTTGAGGCAGATGATCATAATAAAGAATACGATACTGTTTATATGGATTTCACTAAAGCTTTTGATAGAATACCACACAAAAAATATCTTAAAAAAAAAGTCAGCTCATGGTATTGCGGGAGGAAAAATTGTGTCACGGATCGAAGCGTAGCTAATTAACAGGAAACAAGAGTGCATACATGAGGTGAAATCTGAGAGGGGATCAGTCATAAGTGGAGACCTACAAGGTTCAGTCAGTTTTAGGCCCACTTTTGTTCATAATATACATTAATGACCTTGATGAGGGAATAACAACGTGATATGAGCAAATTCGCTGACGATATAAAAACAGGAAAATCCCACTGAATTTTAGAAGGATTTAGAAAAGTTCACGTCGTGGTCATAAAAATGGCAGATTTAGTTCAATGTATATAAATCCAAAATCGCTCATCTAGTAGTCAGAAAAGTGGCAGATGCTGTTTAATGTAGATAAATGCAAAGGTCTAAATCTGGGGAATGTAAATAACCCTGGCACTTACAAATTAAGTAATTCAAAATTTGGCATACATGTCAAAAGGACAGTGGAATTATAAGCAGCAACCTGAAGCCTAGACTGGAATGCCCAAGCGCGTGTAACGAAGCAGATTACTAAAATTTATATCAAGAAGTTTAAGCAACACGAGCCCAGAGGTTATACTATAGCTCTAAACAACTTTAGTAAGGTCTCACTTAGATTATGCAGCTCAATTAACTTGTGCATTTTTCTTCAAAAAAGCCTTTTGTTTATCTGGTCAATTATCTGGCCTGTAAGAAACTTGAACGAGCAACCTACGGCGGCAGGTCGTGGTGTTTTGAGATTCATTCACCTGGTCTATTCTGAGAATACCAATTACGTAGTTAAAAAGAAAAATAGCTCCCAGATCCGCCAGTCATATGACGCAGTGCACACTAGATCTAAGAATAGCAAACAAAACAGGTTTATCACGATATTCGTGAAGTATATATAGTCTTTAAAAAAGCAATTTCTCTTTGCATCTGATTATTGTGCGGGTGAAAAACCATTTCCGCTTCACACAACTCAAACTCACTTCTCACATATGATTTACAATCACTTCACAAAGAACTCTCCGCTATGCAAAGTTCGCTCTGGAAGGTATGAACTAAACAATCACGGCATAGGAAGGCTACATGCAATGCACACGATAAAAAGCATTTCTTAAAAAAAAATAATAATCTAAAGATGGAAAAATCCTGCCTCGCGAACCTAAGTGAACTGCATGAGAAAATGACAAGACAGACTGGATATGAAATACCACACGTTGACCTGTATTAATAAACTGTCGAAAGACTCTTATTCCAAAGAAAACCGACCTCCAAATAATAAGACGAAAGTGTTTCCAACAGGTCATGTATACATCTAAAAAAAAAAAAACCCCACTTGGTAAGATTCATTCACCACGCGTCTATTAGGTACCTGACCTGTTGGTAACATCTCTGCTCTCCTGGATTGTGCTTGATAAATGGAAATACTTACCTGTGCAATACAAGAGCTTTTTTTACAACGTAAAACTGGACTTTGATTTAATCTACGGTTATTTTAAAAGTTAAAATCTCAAAAATATAAAAAAATCGTTAAGATATGGTGCTATTTTGATCAATCTTGTATAGTAACCAAAAATGTCTAATATAACCAACTATTCTTCACAGTCTCAACATTTTATTTTTAGAAAACAGATTACTAAACATATATATATATATACAGGAGCTGTATCTTTTCTCTTTAAGTGTCAGCGAGACTGATTCAAGGAGAGTAACCAGGCAAATCATTACCAATCCTTGACTCGTCTTCCGG